TATAACAATTGATCGAGTGCTTACAACGTACATATTTTTATTTATTGCTTGTAGAACAAGTGATTCCAATGCATTCACAACCATTTTTATTGCTTGTCTTTTTTGTGTAAGAACAACAACTAGTTACATACGAGTTGCAATAGTGATGGATTTATTGGTAATAAAAGGGAAATCGCTGTAAGCAAATAGTTCACGGAATATTTTAGAAACTAAAGAATCAAGTGAGTTGCACCCTTTGATCGTAGTAGTCTCTAGAGAAGATCCTGCTATTTGGGCAAACACCGCTGATTGGCCCAACTCAATATTTTCCAAAAGAGCTGTTTAGGAACTATGTCCTGAGCGTAACCTCTCTTCCTCTAGAAAAAGAGCACCATTTTCGTGGAGGCGGCACGAAATATTTGAAATTTAAAAAAAAAATATTACTTTTTCCACGTTATATTAGGATTTGATCCGTTCCTAAAGCATTGAACAAGTTCAGTTAAAAACCATAGCTGCAGTTGACAACAACCCTTCTTTTACTTCTCCTTATACCGTGACCATACCCGTCTCGGAAGAAAGGGTTAATTGGGGAGTACAAAGCTTTAAACCACATAAAACTGCAGGACCGGACGGGATAACACCTGCCCAACTAATTCAGACAATGGTGGTGTCTGCGAAATGGCTTTTAAGTATTTTTTGGCCTGTTTCAAACTTAATCCTATACCGCTGGCATAAAGGACGGTCATAGTTGTATTTATTTTGTATTTATTCCAAAAGCCGGAGAGGTCTCCCATATTAACCCCAAGAAGCTTAGGCCCAATAGCCTTCCCTTATTTGCTCTTAAGACACTTGAAACGATCCTTTCTGATACCATCGACAGTCGTCTACTGTCTGATGACCAACATACATAGCTTAACGCTGTGTCGTAGCTTTTTTGGATATTGAAAGCGCATTCACCAACGTACTCTCAGAGGCTATTACTGACGCTGCGAAGGTTCTAAAAGGGGATAACTCACTAGAGGAGTTTATCGGTCAGCCACTCTGCTGTAGGCGAAAGGTTTCCGCAAACGCAACGCAAGCTGATACAGCGAACGTTTCAGGATTTATCCATTCGCTGTGGCCTAAGCGTCAGCTCAAGCAACGTGGAGCCCGTCCTCGTTATGAGAAAGTACTAAGTGCTTTCGGTTAATCCACCGGTGCTAAACGGCGCGCCGTTACAAAAACCTAATTTCTTGGCGTTATTTTAGATAAGAAGCATACAGTTCAGCGTTATGAGAAGGTTTCTGTTGGTCTATGTGCTTGTAAAAGGGGCATGTGTATATTAACGTCGATCTGCATGCTTGCTGGACTTTTTAGGCATAAGAAGGTGTGGGAAGTGCGTGAGGGATACGAAACTCTAGAAAACGCAGTTGGTTCATGTCAATTGCTCTGAAGGCTGCGGATTAGACAGCTGGGAAAGGGATATTACCAAATTCTTGAGGGGGCTACCGACATTCTGTTGCCCGCGAATTGGATAGGTATTGTTTTTCAACATTGATTCGGAAGAATTTTGTGACTACCATAGACGTATTCGTTTAATTTGATATCTCCCAGGCCTACCGACTTAACCTACCTTCCTACCCGTTCATAAAGAGAGAGTATCCGAAGTCAGTGATAGTAGTAATAGGGGTTCGAGAAAGCCAACGACAAATTCCTAAATAGCTAGTGAGTGCATGAGACAACGACTAGTGTATTTCAAGCAGAATCATGTCAATGTACTGGAAGTGTGACAACAGTCACCAACCCCCCCCTTCATCAGTGAAATGAAACTTTTTATTTTTGAATTAATAACACAATACTATTTTACCCTTCCGATTTATAATTTTTTTATTTCAGACTGATGACAAATTATCTTTTAATGAATATTTGAATATTTGCGAAATACACTAGGCCATTTTGCTTAGTTCCCTACAGTGTTGGGAAATAATCTATAATCTATACAAAAACTGTACTTTTCGACTGTAAATTGTATCGAATTTATAATTTGCTCATATGCATGCATGCACACATAGATTCCCTTCAAGACCAATGCTTTGATGGTATTCACGGGAAAGTTTATGTAGGTACATTTACATATTTTACACTTTTAACATAAATGTCAAGGCAGATATTTTAAGAATCACTTCTTAACAAACACATTTTTTTAAGTTATTATGAATGGATAAAAGAGACATCTTCTTTGAATTCAGTACTAAAAATTGACATTTCAAGTGCTTATCAAAACTTTATACATGTTAACTAGATTGGCCATTTATCTTAAAAGTATATAATTTTAATTATTGGTTTATAAAAATGCAGTTTAACAAAATCCGTATAAATCCAAGGTTTAATCTATGCGCAACATTAACAAAATCAACAACTTTCAACTTTCGTAAAGCTTTTTAATTAGATTTGATATAAATACATATTTTGAGTATGCAGTTTTGTAGCCCGATCAATTCAAATAAAGCGCAAATTTAAAATACATTGCCGCGACTTATCGTTGATTTTTAATATATATATTTTTTTTGATGAAGGCGTTGCTCATTTTCTTCATTAAAAAAATTGTCGAACATACTTAGATAATATGGAAGAAAATTACCGACATCGTCAAAAATATGCCAGACATCAACTGTAAATCACAGCTATTTTAAATTTGCACTTTATTAGACTAAAATTTAATGAGCTAAAAAACTGCAAAATATTAACAGATAAAATTGAAATAGAAAGTTCGAAATGTTTACGAGAGTTTGTCGATTTATTTTTTATGATGCTCAAAGATTAAACTTATTTTCATTTCGTGTTTGTTAAGGAATAAACTAATTTTTATAAACAAATAATTCAAATTAAAATATAATAAAATAGTGAAATCTAGTCAATATATGAGTGGCGTAAAGTTATGATATTTAAGAACATCTCTTTCTTAATTAACGATGATACTGTTTCTATATGCAGCTGATTTCAACATTTTGTTTTAATAAAATTTAGTATCGAAAATATCATTTCAAAACTTGCCTAGGAATGTGATATAATGGTTCGTTCAAAATATTTTTTCAAAACTTACAATGACAAAAACGGGAAGGCGAAGACAAAAAGAGAGTAAAAAAATTTTCCGCAGTGAATTTTCAGATTTTTAAAACGGCATAGTTATTTAATTTTTTAAATTTAAATAAAGCATGAATACCCCATGGAATAAACGAACAGATAAAAGATATATAACGGTAAAACTGGCACATACATATATATATGAAAGAATGCACTCAGCCGACGCCTCTAGCTATTGCGTGTCACAAATTTAAGTTCTCGATGGAAATTTTTTTTTTCATCCCCCCCCCCCAAGGCCAAATCCTGGCTACGCCACTGTGTCCTCGTAAGAGCAAAGGCAAACAACACCGCTCCTAAGAGCGGCGATGGATGGCGCAGGGTATGAAGACTTACTTACGAGCATAAATTAGATTTGGGATTCATCGTTTCGTGCCATCGAATAGTGGGCATAATTGAGCCGGAAATATCTGGCATGAACGTATGAGCTTGCTCACGCCATACAACTTAGGAGCATGCAAGGTAATTTCAATGCCAAAGAGGGCAAAGAAGATATCTGTGATCTCACATTCGAATAATGTTATTTTAATGGCGAAGTGTTCGATATACACGACGACGGCTGTTTGACTTAGCCAGGTGCTGCCTGAAAGGTGACAGGTTACGTTGTCTGCATATACCTAGGCGTGAATATTAGAGCAGTTATGGATGACAAATAAGGAATCAATCAACTAAGCTCCATAGCAAATGATAGCCCTTAAGAACTCCGCATGTGACATATTAACTTGCTTCCACCTGAATTCTAATGACCAATACGATCACCTTACGATCACACCATACAGGAGAATTGGTCTAACGACGGCTATAAATATCCGTCGACAAATCTACATTTGCTATGTTGGATTTATACATAAACTTATTACGAGATAAGCAAATGGCTTTATAGACGACATGAGGAAGTTGACTTCCACTTAACACAAATACTAATGAGTCGTGGTTGTTTTAACGGCTTGAGCAGGAAGATGGGGAGGCCGTTTAAGGTTCACAGCCTTGTGGATACTTGTGCCAACAGAAAAAATTGGTCCATCTTGGTCTCGCGTCAAGGGGAACAGCCCGGAATCTTAGGAAGGCAATAGGCTGCTCCCCTCTGCATGATGAATAAGGAAAGAAATTTCAACTTTTAAATCGGAATCTTTACAACATTTTATGGAAGTTTCAAACGGCTAAAAAATCCCGTTAATTTTTGAATTTTTTTTTTCGGTAACGGATTTTGCGTTTTGAAAATTTGTTGAATTTTCTAAAATTTTGTATAAAATTTTAAACTGTGATTTACATGCATATATGGCTTTCGCTAAAGCTTAGATGGCACTTTTATAGAAAAATAAAAATATTACGAATACATACTTAAGAAAAATCAATACGTGGCCACTTGTTTTAGTAACTGTATATTTGAATAAATAACAATAATAATAATAAAAAATAAATTAGGCAAAATTACTTTAAAACTCTTGTATAAAGAGGTTTTCAAGGCTTCACTTAAAATCTTCATTTGGCTCCTGAAACGAATATTAGGATTATTCGATGATCGTCCAAGGAGAAAATCCTATTGAAAAAGCCTTATCTGTGATCCCTTATTGGGAATTGCTTTATTGCTTTGCAGTTTTCCCACTGGGAATCTCTTTCTATCTTAATAATAAGTATAAAAATATCCCACAAAACAACTGAATAACAATAGAAAAGGTGTCAAGTATAATGCTATCAAAAAGCCAAGTACTCTCAGCATAATCACTTTGTGCTATATATCGCCCGTCACCATTTCCCACCTACCACCAACGACGACGACCTTTTCTAATCGCATTAATGCTAAACGAAGTGGCCAATTTATCAATTGTGCACAATTGCGCATCTCAACGAAATCAAACGGAATCAACAAGGAAATTTCTAGCTGTGCATGATGTGATCATACAATTTTTGCAACAGCGACAAGAATCAAATCTTTTTAGTCTTGCTGCAACCGCATATCACAAAACAGAGAACAAATTTAAAATTTGTCGATCGGCGCAAATGATTGCGATTTGAAAGTTTAATAACTTTAACAAAAAATGTTTTCTACTCATTTTGTAATAAAAAATTTGCATCTAACGTGAAATTATGGGTAAAATTCGTAGATGTGTGTACTTGCTCGGTGTGATAATAGTGATTTTGTGTATATTCATGGAAGCCGTTGAAGCGGGTGGGTGCTGGTGGTGGATTGGTCAATGGGATCAATTGAAATCATATCAAGATATGAAAACTATTTGCTTAGGGGAATCGATTTTAAATGTGGAACTGCATAACGCTCGTTTGCTAGAACCGTTCGCGATAAACGAATTTAAAGCTATTTTTTCCGGTGACAACAATACATTTGCGATAGTTACAATAACCAAAAAATATGATAATAATCCTAATATTAAATCAAGAGCATTAAGCTATCGTCAAAACTTAATTTCGCCTCTTTTTTTGTTCAAAGAGCGATTGTTTTATAATTATATGTAATTAATAAGTTAAATTCTCTTCCTTACGACTTCTTTGAAAATCAAATAACTTAGATTATGACTTTCTTCCTGCAGGCGAAAGATATATCTACTATAAAAAAATTAAAAAAAAAATTATAATACAAAAATATTACTTATTACAGGCTGGTCTTCTCAATGTTGGAAGAAGCACAATTCCGGTTCCATACAAACGCCAGATGGCGAATTCAAGCGGCCTTTTGGTATCCTTTGCACGTATCATTGCATGCTATGGTTTCCACCAATGTAAGTAAAATATCAATACCAATCCCGCCCGTCCTTTTTATGGGCAAAAAAATTATAATCGATTAATCGCTTAATTGATTAATATAAACCATTCGAATATTAATTGCAATTAGTCGATGAATTGGTCGTTTCCATTGAAATCGAAAATGAATAAAAACCACTTAATATGTTATAAAATGTCATGCCCAATTTTGGGATCCACATTTGATTAATATATTTACGTGGTTACGTGCAGTGCAGTGTTTAGATGCGGTTCCTTATAAGCTGCTCAAGCTTTCCACCATCCACTGTAATTGTTTCTGGTCATTCTTCTTATTTAATAACTTTTACCGTAAAACCACTTATACAAATCAGGATGACGCATTAATATGAAACCTTCATTTTAGAATTGCCAACATTTTCTAAGATATATACAGTACTTTTTCAAAAAAAAAACAAATGGATAAAATATAGTACACTTCAAATATATATAGTATTTTATTTAAAAGAAACAGTAAACATGGTTTTTAAGTGATGGAAAATGTCTTCCTGTGAATGCCGAAGTTGTTGGAATAGAGAGTAGAATTGAAATAATTTTAAGTAAATTTCTTAATTCTTTTTCAGTTATGTTACCGTTTTCGATTATAAACTCACAATTACCTTTTACTTTAAAGAATATTTCATTTAATATTTTTATTTCAGTATAAATGTCGAAATTTTTTCGTGCAATTATATTTATATTTATAATTGAAGAAATATAGTAGTAGTAACATGGTAACAACATAAGACTTACCGTTGATTTTCGTCAACTTTTTGGTGGTAGTGTTGTGCATTTTCTTTCATATAAATTGTGTTAGAAGATTTTTTTATATGAAAGAAATTACTAACTCTTAAATGAATAAGTAAGAAAGTCTAAGTTCGGGCGGAGCCGCACATTAAATACCCGGCGCAAATATTAAATATATGTTTTTCACCTTTCCGAAAGCTACCGCTACATGATAAGCCGGGGTGTATAAATTTTAAGTAAATAAATTAGCGTCCTTAAATTTCGAAAGCTCTAAACATTTCTAGAATTTACCGTTATATGAAAAGCCGTAATTTTAGTCCGATTTCAATAATTTTCATGTTTTTCTTTTTTGTGGCAAGCACAATAACCGTACCGAGGTTGATAAAAATTGGTGCAACGGTTACCGAGATACATAAATGTGATCATAAGTGGGCGGTGCCACGCCCATTTTCTAAAATTTTATCATAAACATATTTCTTGGTAAAGAATTGTTGCAAGCGTCAATTTTGAACAAATTAGCTTTAATATTTACTGATTTATCGAAGATTTCGTATTTCTCTAAATTACCCTTATATGGATTGTGGGCGTGGTTATTGTCCGATTTTAAAAAATTAAAAAACTTGGTATGCTGTACCAAGGCCAACAACTGTGCCAAGGTTGGAAGAAATCGGTGCAGCGGGTGCCAAGATATACACATGTAACCATAAGTGGGCGTGGCTACGCCCATTTTTCAAAAATTTATAATATTCTTATTTTTCGTCTAAAAATTATTGTAAATATCAATTTTGAGTGAATAATCTTCAGTAGTTACTAAAATATCGCAGTTTTCGTATTTCTGAAAATTACCGTTATATGGGAGGTAGGCGTGGTTATTGTCCGATTTTGCCCATTTTCAATATCAGCCCGAAAGAAGTACACGTACCAAGTTTCGTTAAGATATCTTAATTTTTACTCGGGTTATCGTGTGCACAGACAGACGGACGGACGGACAGACAGTCACCGCTTAATCGATTTCTCTTTTCATTCTGATCATTTATGTATACATTTGTCTATATCTATCTCGATTCGTTTTGCCTGTTGCAAACAACCGTTATATGAACAAAGTTATAATACCCTTGTGCACAAGTGCGCTCGGGTATAAAATTTTACAAAAATTAACGGTAAGGCCTAGCTATTGAGTGGTTAGCAGCCCACGTTTTGATCAGGTAATTTTGATGCATATGTTTTTCCATGAGTAAAGTAGTAATTTTTTTATGGTTATCGATTATTTTGAAAACTAATCGGTTAATCGTTCGATTAATTAGAAAATAGCTTCCGAAATTACTCCGCCGTACAAAAGAAGGGCTTTTTAAGTAAAACCCCATATCTGAATAATCGGCTGTATGGAGATTATAGTAACCCGATTCCATTGTTAAAGAGTGAAAATATCTCGAAATTTCGACTTCATAACTGCATAAATGGGGGAGTTATAACAAAAACAGTCTCATATCTGAACACTCATTTGTATGAGAGCTATATGTTATAGTGGTCCGATATAGCCGGTTCGAACAAGTGGTTAATACATTATAAGAATATGCCATAGACAGACAGACGAGCATGGCTAAATCGACTCAGCTCGACGTTCTGATCATTTTGGCAAACATTCATGTGAATTTACCACTGCTTCTTCTGGCACTTACAAATATTGGACCAAAGTCATAATACCATTTCATGCTCATTAAAGGTGTAAAAATCGGTAAAGTAAACAGTTTTGATTTGTATTGCGAAAAATTGTATTTTTTTCATGAAAAGTTTAATAACTCTGTCAACCAATTTTTGAAAGTAAACATTCTCTTTTTTTTTGTGAGCATAAAAACAGAACTGGGGTAACAGTCGGCAAAATTGTGAAAAATATGCCTCCTAGGACCCTTCTTTTTGATCTTCCAAGGCAACAGGCCTTCCATGCTCCATTCTTTCCTCGTTTCTTTTTTGTATGGAAAGGCCAAAGTATCAAGGCCTTCTGTTTCTACTTCACTTTGGAGGGTCTCATTTCAATTTCAATTTCAAATTCCATTCTGAAGGCATACATGCAATAATTCGAATTTAACACTTGTGGAATTATTCGTATTTAAGGTCTTTCAGAGCGATCGCCTATTATTGCCTTACAGAATGATTCTGAACCAACCCCTTTTCGAGTGTTTACCAGTGGGCACCTTCAGATATGATTTAAAACCAAAACTTTCCTCGAGAAAAACCTAATTATGATTTTAAAAACACTGCTATCTGGGTCGAGTGAACTAATTAATGCAAGACCAGTTCATAGAAAACAGATTGTTCACTATAACCAGATTGAGGTTTTTGTTCTTTAAAATCAATTTTGTTGCGCAGTGCGTCTTTTAAAGTTAGATTTTTAAGAACTCTGAAATGTCGTCTTTTCCCTCAGCTAATTCCAACACATGTTTCCTGTTGTTGTTGTATCGTTGTCGTCAAGGAAGCGTGCAGCCTGTCTGTCCATAAGGCCAAAGGCGTTAGCAGGGTGGAGTTCAATGGGCATGCGAAGATATGCTGCGAGTCATGGGTCTCTCTTAATTCCGGGAATTCATTTGGCACATCTGCATTTATTCTGCTCAGGTATGAGTTCAACTTGCTGCAGTAGCCAGATCGAAGTTGGGCTATGAGATCCGAGTCTCCCGAGGCAGACTAAGCTCTGTCTCGTCCACATCTGGTGGTTGCGTCCCCAGAACGGCATTCATAGGTCGAGAGTCTATATAACTGTCGGTAGGCTGTTTGGTCCAGAGGTAGTTTTATGAACCCGCGGACTTCGTCCGTCAGTTCATATAGATGCCTTCTGACGTGCCGTCGCGAGGGTTCTTCCGCAAGCAGATGTTTGTTCGGGTGCCTAACAGGGTGACACCCTACTAGGAATTGCTTGCAGAGCATTGTGTTATGCTCCTTAATCGGGAGCATATGGGCCTCGTCGCGCAAGTGATGTTGCGGCAACATCAGAAGGCATCCTGTCGCTGTCTGAGTGCCGTGTTTTGGCAGGTCTGCAGTTTCTTTCACTGCGTCCTACTAGTCCCCGATAACCACACAGGCGTTGCATAGTTCAGAGCCGGGCGGCCAATTGCCTTGTACGTTGCCAACAACGTTTCTTTGTCTTTACCCTAGTGCTGACGGCTAGAGACTTGAGGGCTTTTTTGCGGCTTTGTACTTTATTTACAATTGCGGTTGTATGCGCCGAGAAGCAGAACAGACTTTCGAAGGTTACTCTGAGGATCTTCGGATTATTCAACGTCGGAATTGGTTCGTCATCGACGAGAATACCCAGTTGCAGTCTGACCTCCTTCGCCGAAGTGGTGAAAAGCTTTTCTGAGGATTTTGTAGGGGAGAGGGTTAGGCTCCGTGCAGTGACGAAGCGAGAAAGCTCGGCGAAATAACCATCATCGAGCAATCGTCAACATAAGAGACAATCGAGACTACCTCTGGTGGTTGAGGGAGCTTAGAAATGTAAAAATTAAAAAGTAGTGCGGAAAGGACACCACCCTGTTGAACTCGATGTTTTATTTTCCTAGGTTTTCTCGATTTGCCTCTAAATATCACTGACGACCACTCAGGTAATTCGCAGCCCACCGTTTGTCTTCTAGTAGCGTTTCTTGAATAGTTCTCTTACATGGTGGGTTTCGGTTAAGGCCACGAATTATTTGGGAGTTTATGGTGTCAAGTGCTGTTTTTGTGCTGTGCACTTTACGGAACCCATGCTGATGCTTCGCTGGGGTCCAGTGATTTGTGTAGTGCGGGAGTAGAAGGGCCTCTAGTGTCTTCGCAACCGGGGAAAGGTGCGCTATCAAGCGAGAAAACTATCCTTTGTTGGACGGTTTCCCCGGTTAAAGCAGTGGAACCACTCTCCCCGTTTTCCAGATGTCTGGTACGATGAGAGTGGCCATAGATAGGTTGAGGACCTTGGTTAGATAGTCCACTCTCCCAGGACCCAAATTTTTGAGCATCGGCATGCAAATTCCGTCGGGTCCAATGGCTTTGGAAACTTTCGCCTTCCCGATGGCTATCCTTGCACCGTCGCTGGAGAAATAAGAGGCGCACTTAGTGTTGACAGTTCGTGCAGGCTTCTGGTCGCTCTACGTTTGGGTCCGGGTCCGATGAAGCGTGGTCGCCAAAAGATATTTCAACTCTGTCGTCACGCTTCGTCGGATTGGACAATCACCTCACGGTTGACCAAAGCTTGCTCACACCAGAGGCGAAGTTACAGGTCTTCGGATGGTCTTCCCATTTCTTCCGCTTATGTATGGTCACTAGTTTCCGAATATCCGAGTTGAGATCCCTGATACGGGGATTTACGGGATCGGCCTGACGAAGGGATTACCCTTTTTGTTATTAAATTTGTCGTTATAGTTTTGAATTTGGAAGGAATTGGTTTTAAATTTTGTTCACTCTACAAAGACTCAAAATTGTTCACTCTATAGAGTTCTCAAGGGAAAAATTTTCATGTTCACTCTTTCGAGGTGTTCGTAGCATCGGGTGTTCACTCCAGCCAGATAACACTGTACTAATTATCTATTATTAAATTTTTATATTTATTAAAAACATATTTCTATTTCATTAAATCACAAAGAGTAAACTCTCAAGACTTGTCTTTATCTTGTCTTGTATTTATTTCGTAGAGGCGAGCTCACTTCAATGGAAATATTTACATTTTCAGATTTAGGAAATTTAAACAAAGCATTAGGGGGTTGTTCCTACATTGGAATCGTGCTCATAATTTCTTTCTCCACTTTTTCCCCTGAAGAATCATTTTCGCTTGCAAGCAACATTATAATATAGCCTTTTCACTGGTTTTGGCGTTGTCGCAAAAATATCGCAAAATATCGGAATTTTAGTTCTCTCACCACCTGGGATTGTTCTATACCGAAAAAAGTTGAAATTAAATTAAAGAAATATTTAGAGGTCGCTTAATGCGCTTCAAGTTTTCCACACAAGTTTTCGTAAAACGGTATAAAATTCTTGGACATCAATATTTTTCGATCCGAAAACTTTGTTTCTCTTCAGGAGACGGCCAATAATAATACACAATTTTTTATTATACCATTTTTTAAAACAAGCAATTTTTATGAATCCACTATGGCATTTTTGAGTTTTTTAGGGATCCTTTGAAAAAAGTTAATAATAGAAAATGGTTAAATAAATAATCAAATGTTATTACTGGAAGTCTTCTGAAAATATACAATATACAAAAATATTGATTTTCAAAAATTCTAAACCATTTCTACGAAAACTTATTTTTTCGCCGTATAAAATACGTGGATAAATTTGGGCGAGCTCTTAGTATTTTTTGATTTCAAAATAAAAAAACAGGGGTATAGTTTTTTTGCGGTATTCTAGAGAGTGAGAGCATTAAAATTCCGACTTTATTTTTTTTCTGGGCCACCCTAATATACGCACGTATGTGATTATTATTTTACAGCGATTGCTTTCTTTAAATTTGATTTCTGTTACTTTGGAAGCACACCTTCTCAACTGCCTTCGAATTGCAGGGCTGTTGGAAGATCTTCTAACACAGCTTCCAAATAGAAGGCTTCTCCGAAAATGTTTTACCTGAAAGCGTTTTTTAGAAGCCCTTTTCATTTTATCGACTGGGACAGTACTGAGATTAGGGTAGTTATTCGTGGCATAGTAAGGGATAATTAAAAAAGTAAATTCCATTCCCTTGAATAGAAATATTTCATTTTTATTATAAAAAACTAGTAGACGTTTAACATATGTATTTGTATAGTATATATTTAATACTTCTTTATTTCAAACATTTTTTTCATATTAATTTATAGTCTTTATATTTTTCTTTTGCAGCTATCCATATTGCGAATTCATTTTCGATCTTCGAATGTCGAGGCATTTCACTTCTTATCCTGACTGTTATGAGATACGCTGCAATGAAACCTTCACCTTTATCGGAGACTAAAAATATCGCCGGATAATATTTTAATACTTTTAAATAGACTACACAATTTGTAACTATAAGTAAAAACGAATGTACATATACACACACATCCATATAAGTATATTTATGTAATCGCAAAAATAAATTTTAAAAACTTGTTGAAATTATTTTTAATGTCATTCACCTGCATAAAAATATACAACGGTACATACATATATACATACGTATACTCGTATAACTCAATAATTTATAAAGCGCCACTTTTATCCAACTTTCTGGGTTGGAAAAGTATCTTCAACACACCCAAGGTGACTTCAAAGTTTCAACTTTGTTAAGTTGCAGACAAACAAAAACATTAAAATAACAATTAAACGTCTCAGACTTGTCTGCCGTTCTGATAAGCGACTGCATATAAACAACAAAAACAAGAGCGTAGAAAACACCTTCAACGCACACCCACATACAAACTGACGCAGATGCATACATACGCATACCGCTCTCTGGCTGTCTGTCGAGCACATCAAAAAGTCAGCAATAATAGTAAGTTTGTTATACTGGCATTGCTTGGAAGAAGTAGAGAAAACTTTTGGCATAAGTAGGCCTGCAAGTTCCTGTTTCAATAAAAAGCTGAATGCAACAAAAACTCGTATAAAATCAGCGTCAAGCTGAGTTGCTGCAAACTTTCACTATCCGCCACTCACACCATAACAGCCGATTGTGCATAAATAGTGGAGGTGACAGAACATAAAGTAGAATGGGAAATTGCCATGGCATCCGAATATATAACGGAAGGGCTTTAAATTTTACTAAGAGTAGAGTCTTGATGAAAGAATTTTTTATGTTTAGTAAGTTTGCTTAAAAAAAAATTTATTGCGCAGATAAGCTATTATTAAGTTGATATATTGCGTGCCATCATATTCAATTTCCGATCGGATTGTTAATGACATGGCGGTCGCTTCTATAAAGGTATCATCACCATCAAAGCGAAATTCCCTACTTGACCATTATTGGACTTTTTAAACAAATGTGGAGCTGACTCTCAGATACACCTCTAAACCCAAATTCAAAACCATTCAAAGCCATAACAAAACCAGATATCTTGGTACCTCTACAACAACTCTGCATTTTCAATGCAAATTTAAACTTTTTTTTTCATTTTCTTGTAAAATTTAAAATTTTTTAAATAGCATTGTTTATTTATATCAGCGGTTCCCACACTTTTTGTTTTCGTATACCACTTTCGGCGCTATTAACAAAACTTGTCAAAAAATACGAATAATAGATCCAACTATGGAAATTTGCGTCACGGCCGAGTGCCAACCCTGAATTCAGAGTGGGAAAAATAAAAATAGAGACAGAGCGCTCCTTTATGAGGCGTAATATTTTGAGGGGTATGGAAGCGTGGGGTAAATATTGAGGCGAAAAAACTGAGTTATATAAAAAATAAATTTATTTGAAGATCGCTGGTTCTTTTTTAACTCATAAAAGAGGAAATCAAAATTGATTCCTCTTGAATAGTAATGAGGAAGAAGCTGTTAATTTTTTCTTCGGTGTAGAAGTTTTGTGAACTTTGTCCTAATAAGCACTACTCAAAAAATCTAAGAAAGGTTAGAAAAAAGCAAATTAAGGCCTAATAAACAAACATGCCATCTGATCTTTATGCCCGCCTATCTGAACAAATTTTTTCAAGAGCGTGTACAAAAAGGGGAAATTTTTCATTTTTTTATCGCGCTATTTGTTAGGATTGCATGACAATCGTGACTCCTAAAAATGTTTAGCCAAGAAGTCTGAAAATTAAAATCCTAAAGCTTCAAAATACGACCTTTTTTCATCGAAATACAGCCTGGCAAATATCACCAAAAAATTTAAAATTGTTTTGTGCTCCCTTACCCCACGTCTCCACCTTCTCCAGATTCGTAGTTTAATTTTACCGCGCCATTTACATTGGGTACAGATAAATCTGATTTGTTTGGTGTAATTTTAAAAATGAAATTCTTAGACAGAAAGTTGCCCACATGATAAAACGGGACAAAGTTCAAACAGAAATTTTACAGATGCTGAGACACATTTAGTAGAAGGAGAGAATTGTTTTGAGCAGTGTATTATCTGCCTACATTGATAATTAAAGCCAAGCCAACATGTTTGTTCTTTACTATCGAAACAAGATAAATTTTCGTGGACCCAACTTACAACTTGTGATCCCCTATTTTCTTTCACGCCAACGTAGGTAGACCCCGTCGAGTCTTCCGTGGATCCTGGGGGCCCAACTGGACAACTTTGGGAATCACCGTTCTATACGATTGTCACGGATGCTATTCACCCATTTCTTATTAAGACAATAAATATTCTTAGAATTATAATTGATAAAATATAAATGATTCAATAAGATGGTAGGTGTTCCCAATAGGGCCATTGTTTCATGGGCTGTGTTGCAAGTGGCACCGTTCTGTTTAAACCGCATCTTGTCCAAGTCCTTGTCATCTAATTTAGACCATAATAAGTTTCCTATCATGCCTCGATAACGTCCATTTACCGCAAAAGCGTTAACTCATCATTTCCGGAAGAGTACGCTCCGATGACTCCGCCAGCGAAAAAACTCCAAAAAACAGCGGTTTAATATGGTATATGGCTTTTCAAGGAGTTTTCTTGTTAACGTTGAAAAACGGCATCAATGTTTGGACCACTTTTACGTATAGTTCAACTGACCAAAAACATGAACCGGTTTTGAAACGAATAAACCTTTGTTTTTCTCCAATTAGCTGAAGTTACATTTTCTACAAATATTTGATCCGAACCGAAAGCCGAACCACGTTTTATAATGGTTTTAGTTTCGTTTCGTTTGACAAACTTTTAATTTTTATACCCGAGCGCACTTGTGCACAAGGGTATTATAACTTTGTTCACATAACGGTTGTTTGTAACAGGCAAAACGAATCGAGATAGATATAGACAAATGTATACATAAATGATCAGAATGAAAAGAGAAATCGATTAAGCGGTGACTGTCTGTCCGTCCGTCCGTCCGTCTGTGCACACGATAACTCGAGTAAAAATTGAGATATCTTAACGAAACTTAGTACGTGGACTTCTTTTGGGCATAGGACGGATGGTATTGAAAATGGGCGAAATCGGACAATAACCACGCCTACCTCCCATATAACGGTAATTTTCAGAAATACGAAAAGTGCGATATTTTAGTAACTACTGAAGATAATTCACTCAAAATTGATATTTACAATGAGTAAATGAAAAATAAGAATATTAAAAAATTTTGGCAAATGTGCGTAGCCACGCCTACTTATGGTTACATGTGTATATCTTGGTAACCGCTGCACCAATTTCTTCCAAACTTGGCACAGTTTTTGGTCCTGCTACAACATACCAAATGGCCGAAAAATTTTTAAAATCGGACAATAACCACGCCCACATCCCATATAACGGTAATTTAGAAAAATATGAAATCCTCGATAAATCAGTAAATATTAAAGCTAATTTATTCAAGATTGATGGTTGCAACAATTTTTTACCAAGAAATACGCTTATGATACAATTTTGGAAAATGGGCGTGGCACCGCCCACTTATGATCACATATATGTCTCTCGCTAACCGTTCTAGCAATTTGAACCAAACTCGGTATGGTTATTGTGCTTGCCACATAAAAGCAAAGCGTTGAAATTTATTGAAATCGGACTAAAATTACGACCGCTTTTCATATAACGGTATATTTCAGAAATGCTTGAAACTGCAATATTTCGAAATTTAAGGACGCTAATTTACTTAAAATTTATACACGCCGGATTATCGTGTAGCGGTAGCTTTCGGAAAGGTGGAAAACATATATTTAATAATTGCGCCGGGTATTTAATGTTCGGCTCCGCCCGAACTTAGACTTTCTTACTTGTTTCTTTTGTTAAATATGGTAATACCATATTAGTTTACCATCTCACAATTTTTTTACAAAGTACAGCGTATAGTATAAATTAGATACTTTTAATATTTGTTTAAACCAGTTTTTTTTTTTTAATTGCAAATTTTCGGATAACTCTAAAACCGGTTTTGGAAAGAAGGCGAATAATCGAAAACCCTAATTTATACTGAATAAGGTATCACAAATAACTTACCGACCAGAAACTCTTACTGAGTAGTCTCCGAACTAGCTTCAAATACCGTAGCAGCCGGTAATAACGGATGCTCAATGGGGGAATAGGAGTCGTCGGAGTGGTAGTCTATTGCGAGTTATTTTGGGTTAAAATTTATTCATACATATCTGGACACATTTGATATCAGTTTGTCCGCAGCAGGAAACAAGAGATATGCAATTTTTAAACTAGCTAGAAACATGCCAGCGTCATTTAAGAAGAGGACTGTGAACAAGCAAATAAAAAATTTGCGGAAGAACTAAAATTTAAGGTGGCTCGACATACAGAAAAGCCCAAATTCACCCTTTTCCTAAAACGCTCCCGATCTAGTAGGGCTACAGGGATACCATTGTCGAGACAACGACGAGGATTTCAAAAGCGTTGAAAAATTTCCGACGACGACATTTCCATCAATACTTTTTCCCAACATTATTTCATATAAATTTAACGAAGATGCGGATTTGAAAGAGCTTCAAAAATCAGTTTAATTGGTGTCACTCATAGCCTTCAGAGTTACATGTGTCATCATCTCGGATCAGGGTATTTACTTGTACAAGCTAACCTAATCTAATTTTTCAATGCAAATAAATATTGAAGCTGAATATTGCCGTGGCAAGCACCGAGCTTGTGCCCAAGGAATACTAAAATATTTTGGTCTTACCTGATTTGTGGTATTCACGTGTGTTCCCTAATTGGTCGGAGAAAACAATAAAGAGCATTTCCTTGACTAGTCTTTTGCTAGATTCAGTTATCGAATTGAAAATTCTTTAGGATATCAGATTAATAATGTACGAACTTCGCATCTTGAATAACTGTTTGTGAACGCGCCTAGAAATATCCATTCGCCTGAATAATTATGGACGAGCATATGTATTCTACCAAATAGAAATTCAATTACAGATTTTGATACGTACCTAAATATGTATGAGCGAGTGTTTAGCTCTCGCAATAAATGTAATTCAAGCGTCCACCAAAATATGCACTCACTCGCCAGCTTATACCTCTACAACGGTAAACCATTTCC